TTTTCCACGACATTCTAATTTATTGAGATGCACCTGTACATGCTGTTCTCGGTCATTTTAGAATAGATGCGACGTGGTGGAGAAAAAAAAATAGTTCCTCTCTGTCACAGTCTTAAGGTTCCAAAGATGAAGAATCAATAGGTTCCAACATGATTGTTTTTGATAAAAGAATAAGCACAGGGTATCCAAGTCATAACAGTGCACTTTAACACAAACAACTGATAATGAACTGAGGAAACAAACTTAAGAAGCTATACACGGACAACGAACAAAAAGACGAACATGTGATGATCAAATTAATTGTCATGGTAACTAAAGAGAGCGGGAAACTAGAACAAATACAACGGGAAATAAAACAAAACCAGCTAAAAGTCCATAAGGAAAACTAAACTGCAGTTCCTGACACCCTCATATAAATGACATGCAATGCATTACTTCGTTGAACTAGCTAGCTCTACATATATAGGCACCGAACCCCCAACTGCTCCACGGGCGCCGCAGCATAAATGGCTGCCCACTGCTCCGGGTGTGTGTTCACGGTGTGCGTGTGTTCACTGCTGTGTGTGTGCACTTTGGATGGGTTAAATGCAGAGCACTAATTCCGAGTATGGGTCACCATACTTGGCCACATGTCACGTCACTTTCACTTTCACTTTATATATATACACATATACACTCAGGATGTTAGTGTACGGAATGAACAGAGGAAACGTGAGGATCCATATGCAAGGCTTTTATTCCCAGACATGGTCAAAACAGGCAAAGGGTCAGACAACAACACCGGTATAGCACAGGCAAGACAAAAGAGTAATCCAGAGACAGGTGTGGGTCAAATAATGGTGAACATAATCCAGAGGGTGAAGCAAACGGGTAATCCAACAGACAGGCTATATTTCAGGCAAGGTGCAAACATAGTCCAAAACAGCAAGACAAAGGGATAATCCAAGATAGGCTAAAATCCAAGGCAGGCAGAGAAGACACAGAAATGAGATACACAGGCTAGGATCAAGACACGAATGACTCAGGCAATAAACAGTATAAACTAGACTTTAACTCAGAAAACTCGGAATGGCTCCGTAATGTATCTATCACTTGGAGAGTGATAAACACTAAACAATACTCGGCGTTGAATGGTGGTTTGTGTCTGATTTTTATAGTGTGTGTAATTGGCTGCAGGTGAAAACGTAATCAGTGAAATGGAACTTGTGAAATGTAGTCCGGAGTGACCTAATGGATAGAGAGTCTGACTTGTAATCCGAAGGTTGCGGGTTCGAGTCTCAGGTCTGGCAGGGATTGTTGGTGGGGGGAGTGAATAACCAGCGCTCTCGCCACCTTCAATACCACGACTGAGGTGAGACCCTTGAGCAAGACAACGAAGCCCCAACTGCTCCCCAGGCGCCGTGTGTGTGTGTGTGTGTGTGTGTGTGTGTGTGTGCACTTGGATGGGTTAAATGCAGAGCACAAATTCCGAGTATGGGACACCATACTTCACTTCACATGTGACAGTCTGTGTAATGTGATAGTCAGTATATAATCAGAAGGCGATCTCTGGTGGCGAGCAGACGGAAGACCACGGACCGGATTCGTGACAGTTAGGTGTCTCCTCAGAACCCGCAATGGAAATGAATAGAAGACAAAATCATTGTCTTCAATTTGTCAGATAAAGTCACTAAATCAACCACAAAGCAGAGAGAGAGAGAGAGAGCTATAATGGGGAACACAGAAATGAAGAAGTGACATCATAACATCTAATGGAGAACAAATGCAAACACACACACACACAAACAACACAAATAACACCAAGTTTTACAGTAATATTGTAACATAATTGCAAAAATGGTAGTACAAAAAAGTTAAACTTTGACAAACTTTTTTTTTTTTATTAATAAATGTCTCAACATCAACATCAATCTAATGAGCCATTTGGTGATCATTGCAGCCATCTAGTGGCTGTAGTTGTAATTTCATGTTATTTTATTTTATGGCAGCAGACTAGCATATTGACCATGTGGTACCTCCATGAATGAAAGTTAGAATTTACATAAAATAGTTATTTTATTTATGCCAAATACTAAAAAAACAAAACAAATAAATAAAGCATGTTATCATCTGGGCTGTGGGGAAACAAGAAACATCCTGAGTGTACATCCTAAACCTAATAATCAAAAAAAAAAAAAAGCATATGCTTAACCACTGTTATAATTATGAATTATCCTTGGAAAAATGTTCTTCCATGTAAACAAACAGCGCATGAGAGTTAAGATATTTTACACCAACTATACTTAATGTTATTAATTCATTATGGTGTTCGTTGTAGGAGGCTGAAAACAGAAACCTAGAAGTTTTCCATTTTCTCTGAAGAGTATTATTACCTCATGAGCATAAAAAAAAAATAAAACTGACCCTCTGACACTAGCATTGTCTGTTATTTTTCTATTCTTTCTACTTGTTTTATTTTTATTTATTATAAATAATAATAATAATAATAATAATAATAATAATAATAATAATAAACTTGCTACATGTACTGCTTTAGACTAACCGGGACTTGTCACAGCACTTATATTATTGCTCTTTTGTTGGTTTGATTGCTTCTGTTGTCTTCAATTGTAAGTCACTTTGGATAAAAGTGTCAGCTAAATGCTAAAACGTCTGACTGAAAAGAGTCCCACCAACTGGCCAGAACAGAAACAGTTCAATGTTTTAACAATTTTCTCATTTCAAAATCCAATTAAAATGACAAAACAAATAAAAGAATACAACTTGTTTTATTATTATTATTTCAACTTTTGTCATAACGTAGCACATTTTACTCATATCACTATCAACTACATGAAGTCAGATATTCAGTTCAGAGTCTGTTTTCTTCTTTCTTTACAGATTTACCCACACTTACACTGACGGTGACACCAGACAATACAGTATTCACTGGAGAGACAGTCAGTCTGACGTGTGTGATTGAGTCTTACAGTAACTGGAGATATGAGTGGTATAAAGGCGGAAACAACAGTGTAATGTTACAGACGTCTGAGCGTTACACTGTAAATGGAGACACTCTCAGTATTGTAAAAGCTGTTTCAGCTGATCAGGATCAGTACCGGTGTAAAGGACAGAGAGATGGAGAACCAAACTCATCACATCTTAGCTCTGCTGTATATTTCTATGTAAAAGGTGAGTTTAATATCATTGTCCTCTTAAACTCACTCTAGATTATTTATTATAATTTAGTCCCTTAACCGATTCGGCCATCGGGAAGACATGAGGGAAGAAGTAGCAGACAATGCCCTCCACTGATCTCTGTCTCTGTCTCTTGAGGAGCTGTGGCCTGTTGAGGAGCCTGTCAGTCCACTCCATCAGATTGTCGGTCCAACTCTTCCTTTGATGCCCACGGCGGCGACCACCTTCCACTGTGCCCTGAAGAATGGTCTTGGAGAGAGGGTATTGTGGCGCGTTACATGGCCAAACCACTGGAGTTTCCGCCTCTTCACAATGGCCAGCAGAGGATCATGGGAGCCTACCAGGCTGGTGCATCTGTCCCGGACATAGTCATTGGTTTTTCGCTCTAAATAGGTAATGCCCATGAGCTTTCTGAGGCATTTGAATTCAAAGGCCTGAATCCTTCTCTCGTCTTCAGCTAGAAGTGTCCATGCCTCACAACTGTATAGCAGGACGGAAACCACCAATGACTTGAACAGGAGGTACTTTGTGCAAAAGTTGATGCTTTGCTTCTAAAGATCTTTTGGAGCTTTGACATTACAGCAGTTGCTGTAGCAATTCTGATACGGATTTCTGCTGTGCAAGAGCCATCTTGGGCCATGTGTTGCTCCCAAGTATTTAAATCCTTCTACCTCTCCAAACTTTTACCCTCCCATGGTAATGTTAGTGGTGGTGTCTTTAAAGGAACACTCCACTTTTTTTGAAAATAGGCTCATTTTCCATCTCCCCTAGAGTTAAACAGATGAGTTTTACCGTTTTCAAATCCATTCAGCAGATCTCCGGGTCTGGCGGTAGCACTTTTAGTGATGATACAATTTACAATGATACTACACAGCGCCTGAAAATAGGCTTATTGGAAGTTACCTAGCTGGGGGAGTGTTCCTTTAATGCTGTTGACCATGACCTTAGATTTTTCTGTGCTGATTTCGATGGCATATGCACCTGCTCTCTCTACTAGCTTGTTGGTCAGTTCTTGTAGTTCTTGGTTGCTTCCAGCCAAGAGATCTATATCATCAGCAAATCTAAGGTTGCATATTGCTCTGCCATTGATGGAGATGGATGTATGATGGTCTTGGAGAGTCTCTAGCATTATCTGCTCCAGGAACAGGTTGAAGAGTATAGGTGACAGTACGCATCCTTGTCTCACTCCTATGGTTGTTGGGAAAAAATCCCCAATTTGGTTATTTAGGAGGACAGCGCTACTTGTTCTTTCATACAAGGCCTTCACTATCTCTACTATTCCCTCATCGATCTTAAAATTCCTGAGTACTTGCCATAGGCCATCATGCCACACCCTATCAAAGGCTTTTTTAAAGTCAATGAATTTGTGGAAGAGCTCACGCTGATGCTGCAGATACTTTTTGGTGATCAGCCTACAGTTAAAGATCTGCTCAGTGGTACTTCTTCCTGGCCTGAATCCTGCCTGTTCTTCGGCCAACACTTCCTCTGACTTTGCTTTTAGCCTTTTATGTATCACTCCAAGCATGACCTTGCTGGGGTGGCTGATAAGAGAGATAGTCCTATAATTCTGGCACTGCTTGAGGTTTCCTTTTTGGGAAGGGGTATCACTAGGGACTGTGTCCACTCTGTTGGCCATTCTCTTCCTTCCCAGATTTTTTGGCATAGTACTGTCAGAGCCTCTATTGTGCTTTCTCCGCCATGTTTCAGCAGCTCAGCAGGTATGTTGTCCACACCTGGGGACTTCCCTGGTTTCAGTCTGCGTACCGCCTCTTCAACCTCTGCTTTTAAGATTGGTGGGCTGTCCTCTTCACTGGGAACAGGCTCTGTGAGGATGGTCAGGTCTGGTTGCAGATCGAAGTTGTAAAGTTCGCTGCAGTGTTCCATCCACCTCTTCAACTCTTGATCACTGTCTGTGAGGATGTTACCATCTTTGTCTTTTATGATGTTAGTCTTGCTCTGTTGTGATCTTGTAAGAACTTCCAGTGTGGAGTAGGCCTGCTTGCTATTACCAGCCTGCATATTCTTGTCTATGGAGGAGCACTGATCTGCTATCCAGTTCTCTTTGGCTTCTTTCATCTTCCTCCTCACTGCTCTGTTAGTCTGCTGGTATTCCAACTTGCCTTTTGGGCAGGAGTATTTCTTGCGCCTAAGCTCTCTCCTCTTGTCACACAGTTCAAATACCTCGTCTGTCACCCATGGCTGGATCTTCTTCCTATGCCTGCCAAGCACCTCCTCAGCTGCAGAGAGCAGGGTTTCAACTGTTTAACTCCTAGGGGAGTTTGATGTCTCCTGCAAGTTCATCAACTGGAGTATCAAGAAGGTTCAGAGCTGCAAATTTCCCACCTACAACTGCCTGAAAGCACTCCGCTACCTCGGTGTCTTTCAATTTCTCCAAATTAAAGCGGATGCGTGGGTTCTTTGGGAAACACTGTGCTTTCAATTTCAGCTTGAATGTTGCCAGCACAAGATCGTGGTCACTGCCGATATCTGCCCCTGGGTATGTTCTGGTTCTTGCTTTGTTGATGCTAGACTTATAGCGTTGTGGCATGATGATGTAGTCAATTTGATTGTGCACGTCAGCATTAGGTGAGTGCCAAGTTGTTCTCCTGGAGGTCTTATGAGGATGCAAGGTGTTAGCGATGGTGAGACGGTGGCTTTTTGCAAATTCCAGGAGCCTTAGTCCTCTTTCGTTGGTTTCTCCATGGCCAAATCAGCCTACTGTTCCTGCCCAGGTCTGATATGCATCAGGGCCAATCTTGGCATTCCAATCTCCCTGAACTATGATGATGTCTTTTCGGGGGGTTTTCTTGATAATGTTTTCTAGCTCATCATAAAACTCCTCAACCTCTTCGTCACTATGTCCTGATGTTGGTGCGTAGGCCTGCACGATGGTGACATTAGTGGGTTTGGCAGAGAGACGGATGGTGATCAGTCTACTTGAAATTGGGGTGCAGTTGATGACGCTTACTGAAGTTTCTTTATTTACTAGAAAGACTAGTGCAGGTGTTTAGACTCGTCTCCGGAGAACCATATATTGTGCCCTTCCTCTATGGTGGTTTCTCCAAGACCTGTCCATCTGACTTTTGTAAGATTCAATCTAGATAACACTTTACAATAAAGGTACATGAACAATCATATACTAATACCTGAATTAATACTTAATTCAACATGAACTCACGATTAGTGAAGACATGAGCTAATGATTAATCTTTCAAGAGCTCCTTAACTACGACTGGAGTCATGTGGATTCATGCATGAATAATGCAGCCTTACATGTTAGTACATGTTTGATAGTTAATGCATTAATCAACATTTAGGGGTTAACTAAATCAAACCGTTTCTAAAAGAAGGAATAAAAAATATTCTTAAAAAAAGAGATGTAGACCGGATATTAATATCAATGTTTCATTTATTTTTTACCATTATTTACAAATATTTTTGATGCAATTAATAACTAAAAGTTAACCAAATATTTAATTTAATGTAGTTTTTTTTTCATAAGGAGGTTTTGAGTTTACAACAGTGATCATGAGACTGTGATGTTGTTTCAATCAATATCTACTCATCTGTGTATTAATACAGAGAGACCAAAACCTGTAGTGAAGGTGACTCCAGATCAGCGTGTGTTCAGAGGAGAGACAGTCGCTCTCACATGTGACATACAGAGAGGAGGAAACATTCAGTGGACATACAGCTGGTTTAAAGATGGTCAAGCCATCCCAGACACCACTGAGAGAGTCTACACCATCACATCTGTGTCTGATAATAGTGGTGAATACAGCTGTAGAGGAGAGCGATCAGACTCACAGAGATCAGACACCAGTGCTGCTGTTACACTGACTGTATCAGGTGAGTCTTCAGATTCATAAGTATAGGGTGAATAAATATAATATTTGTGACTAATCCGATCCTTGTTGTTCCTCCTGCTCACCATCAGAGGGCTCTCTCACCATACTGACTATTCCTTCCCAGAGACTCCATTTCCCATGATTCCCTTTCCAGGAAATAATAACCTTACACTTGTTTCCCAATACCCGGACTATTTAAGATACACTCACACACACACTCGTTGCTGAGTATTGTTGGTCTGTAGCTGCAATCATAAGCCTTCCCCATGTTTCTATGTTTGCCTTGCCTTGTTGTTTTACCTTGGACTGTTTACCTTGTTTTTGCTCGTTTGCTGCCTGCCCTGACCATTGCCTGTTTATTGGATTACTCTTTTGTCTCGCCCTGTATTGTCCCTGTTTGCCGGTGTTTGACCGTGCCTGTTTTTGACCACTCTTTTGAATAAAAGGCTCGCATTTGGATCCTCAACTCCGTTGTCACGTCTCCACGTTACAATATTGTATAGAGATCAGATATCAGTGCTGTGTCCTGGATGATCAGCTGTGATGTGACGTGACTCTGGAAGATCAGCTGTGGTCTGACGTGACTCTGGCAGTTCAGCTGAGACATGACGAGACTCTGGAAGTTCAGCTGAGACGTGACGAGACTCTAGACGTTCAGCTGAGACGTGACGAGACTCTGGAAGTTCAGCTGAGACGTGACGAGACTCTGGAAGTTCAGCTGGGACGTAATGAGACTCTGGAAGTTCAGCTGAGACGTGACCTGATTCATGAAGATCAACTGTGACATGACTTGACTCATGAAGAACAACTGTGACATGACTTGACTCATGAAGATCAGCTGTGACTTGACTTGACACTGTGACTTGAATTGATTCATGAAGATCAACAATGACTTGACTAGACTCATGAAGATCAACTGTGACTTGACTTGATTCAGGATTGGCAGCTATGACATAACGGGGCATTGTTGTGTCCGCCATTTTGCGATCAGGCTCCGCTGTCGCCGCCATTTTGTGAGCGTGCTCTAGTGCGGCCGCCATTACTCGAGTGTGTGTGAGGTCGCGATCCTCCGCAACACCCACAGTGAACGATGAACCAACAGTCAACAAAGCATAATCCATAAATTGACTTCGAGAAGAACGGGAACCCTCACGGATTAATCGTGTCATTAGAGGTTCATTGATACCCTCAGAAAAAAAAATCTAACAGTACACAGTCCGGCAGATCTGAATAATGAGCGATGGCTAAATACTCTTGAATATAGCCTTCCAGCAATCGTGTGCCCTGTCTAAGGGCTAACAATATTCTTGCCGTATCCACACCTGGCCAATGTCCATCCGAGAAGCCGCTGGATCCTTGTGTGGCTGAGTATTCTGTTACGGGCAAACAAGACGTGAGACATACGGATCCATTCGCAAGCTTTATTTAAGGACGTGGTCAACACAGGCGAGGGTCAGACGATGGCAAACAGATATATTGAGGGCAAGACACAAGAATAGTCCAGTGAACGGGCGTGGGGTTGATCTCCGACGAACAAAGTCCAAACAGGGTAATCCAAAGGGTAATTCCGAAACACAGGCGATGATCCAGGCGAGAGGTAAACAGTATCCAAACAGGGCGAGACGAAGGGGTAATCCGAAATACACAGGCAATGATCAGAACAGAGAAAACAGACAAGGCAAGACTAAGCTAAGACTAGGAAACTTAAAGCAGGCTCCGTAATGTAGCTATCACTGATTAGCGATATGCGCATACAATACTCAGCAGTGAGAGAGAGGAAGTCCATGGCTTATGTAGGGTGTGTGATTGGTTACAGCTGTGTGCAATCAGTGCAATGCATGATGGGAAATGTAGTCCGTGGTGACGTGTAACAGTTTGTGTAGTGAGAGAGTCAATATGATTTGTGACAGAAATTATCTGTTGTTTTTATCATATTGCTTACTATATTTATTTGTCTGGCCAGTGTTGTTGTGGATTTTGGTTATTGTGCTGTTGTAAGACCTTTGAAATAACATAAATCATTTGGCAGGATATGGACATGTAATGCGGTCCAGAGCTGCCTGGAACTACATTCGCTGTGCGTTTCCCTGAAAATAATTGCACACCTTAGAACGTTCGTCAGCCAATCAGATTCAAGCATTCAACGGCCCCGTAGTATAATTATAAATAAACCATGACTGCATAAGAGCAAAAGTAGGTGGTGATATGCACACAGGGTGCAACATGCCAAAAAATGGAAGAAGAAGAAACCGAGCCGAGCCGTACCATGCAGTGGAAAAGCACCAAAAGTGTCTGAGATTCTTCAAATCTTACATGAGGTTTATACTCAGTGATTTGTCTCACACAGCTGAACTCTGACTCTTCAGGATCTAAATCTGTTCTTGTTCTCCTGCAGATCCGAAGCCAAAGCCTGAACTCATGCCAGATGCTGCAGGAGCTGCACTGACAGGAAACACAGTGACTTTGACCTGTCGCATGAATCTGTCCCCTGGGTGGGACTTTTACTGGTACAAACACACACTGAACTCTGAGACAAAGAAGAAAAAAACAAACTACTACAGTGTGAAGATTGATTCAGTGTCTGATGGAGGCCAGTACTGGTGTAGAGCTGGAAGAGGGAAACCAGCCTACTACACACAATACAGTGATGTACTGTGGGTAAATGTTACAGGTGAGAGAAAGCATAGTATCTGACACAACATACAGATCAGAGACAATATCTACAGAACATCTAAAACTTTGAATCTAAAATGAATGCAATAATCTGTGTTTGTACAGTGAGTCCTAAAGCTGTGGTGACGGTACGGCCTGATGAACGAGTGTTCAGAGGAGAAACAGTCGCTCTCAGATGTGATGTAAAGTGGGGAGGAGACACTGAGTGGACGTACAGATGGGAAACAGAGGGAACAAACTATCAACATAAAAACTCTGTCAGCCGAATCTCAACACAAGAGTTGAACATCAGGAGTGTTGATCACTTTCACAACGGTAAATACACCTGTACAGGACAGATGGGAACACAAAGCTCTCAGCGCAGTGATGCTATTACACTGACTGTATCAGGTGAGTTTGTGTGTTTGTTCATTATTA